AAGGGCGGGGTATAAATCCAATCTCTTCTCTTCTTCTTCTTCTCTTGGCTTTCTGGTACAGAACTAGAGCTAAACACTAGATCACTTGTGAAATGGTAACAATACATAAAACTGCATGTGAGATTCACATCTGCTGACATCTGCTAAAGTAATCCTAATTTTTGTGCTTCAGCACTTCTTCCAGTTTAAACAAAGTCCTTTAAATGAATTTTACCACTGTGTGTTTTGATTTTATTTTGTTACAATTTGTGTATGTTTTTTTAAAGAACAACAACAATCAATTGGATTTTTAGCCAGTGTACAGTGCAGTCCTTTGCTGAGTTACTCCAGATTAAGGTTACTGAAATCAGTGGGTTTGGTCACTTGGGAGAGGATGGGGTTGCCAGGTCACAGCCAGCATCTCCTGGGAGAAATTGGGGGCGGGGCCTGGTACACCATTGGCATGCCGGCATGTTGACATCATATTCAGTAAAATCCTGTTGGGACACCATTAGACACTCTGGAATTTACATATAGAATCTAGGTAGTATTTTATAATTCTAAAGCATTCATTAGGACACTTCTGGCTTTTATTGGAAGTGACATTGGAATGCCAACTGAGCACACTGCTGGTGCATGCTGCATTGTCACCCGCCCCCATTTCCTCCTGCTAGCACCTGAAGCACCAGCAGGCAAAGTACTGATGCCAGGCAGCATCCCTAGCTATCACAGGTCAGGCAGAGCCGAGGGTGGGTTCCTGGGGGGCAGCCAAAGTCCAAGTGAGAGAAACCGAGTCAGGAGTCCAGTCCAGGAGTTCAGAGCCAAACAAGCCATTGCCAAGGGGCTGTCTGAGAGGCATAGTCAAGCAGTCTAAGGATTACAAGCAGGAGTCTAGCAGAGCCAAAAACCATAGTCAGAAGCCAGTCCAGGGGTCACCCAAGTGAGGCAGGATCTAGGGGTTGTGGTCACAGAGTCAGTGGTGGAATGACTTCTTGCTTTCACACCTAACAGCTTCCTTTGGCTGGTTTTTATAGCCATATGCCTAAGGGTCAAATTTGCAGCCAGCTGCTTGGGAATAATTCTACAACTACTCAAGCAGCTGGTGTTGGGCCAGGAGACGGGCACTCTGTTGTCTCTCCTGTAGTTCTGCTCGTAGCCTCTGTCTGTGGCACTCAGAGGGTGTTGGTGATACTGAAGGACTGGGAACAATCAGCTTAGTTTCACTTGTTGACTCAGGGTTGGAGACTTCTGCACCAGCTATTGGCTGTGATTCCTGACCAGCCTACCGTTTGTCTTCCTGCTTGCTGGCTTCTGCTGACTCCAAGCTGGCAACACATGGCTCCTCTTCTCCTGAGGAGTCCTCACTGAGCCTTGGCCCATGGCACTAGCAAAGGATTGTACTGATAATCTGTTTGACCCATAAGAAGCCTCAGAGAAGAAGAGGAGATTGGATTTATACCCCACCCTTAACTACCCAAAGGAGTCTCAGAGTAGCTTACGATAACTTTCCCTTCTCCTCCCCACAACAGACACCCTGTGAGGTAGGTGGGGCTGAGAGAGCTCTCTCAAGAACTGCCTTTGAGAAAACAGCTCTGAAAGAACTTGTGACTGACCCAAGGTCACACCAGCAGTTCCATGTGGAGGAGTGGGGAATCAAACATGGTTCTCCCAGATTAGAGTCCACGCTCCTAACCACTTCACCAAACTGGAGACTAATATCTTGAGTAGTTCAGTACTATTGCTCAAACAGATTTTTTACTTAACAACATTCTGTAAATATCAATAGTTTGCTTTGCTTCTTTATATATTATGCACAGCCTAGTCATAGATGCCAGTGAAAGCAACAGAATGGGATTCGGTAATGACTAGCTTTTTATTTTTGCTGAACAGTGTGCAGTGTGTGTATCCATAACCTATAGCAAGAAATGTTCTTCAGATATAATTCTGCAGCGTTATTTCAATTTAAATCTGGCCACTATTCTGTTAAGGTAACAGTAGACATATTAAATAACTAAAAATGCTAAACTTCAAGCACTGTAAGATGTGAGGAAAAGTGGGAGTTTAGGCTAAAAGTAAATCAAACATTATACCACTACATCCCTTATAAAACCACAGTAGACTGGTTGGTAATCAGCCTGGTTGGTTGACCTTGGCTAAATTATACAAAAGAATTTTCTAAAACCACTTCAAGTATCAGCAGAGATGTGGGATAGTCTTTTACATTTTGCAAATGAGAGGCTCTAACATTGTCTTCCTGTACAGAGTGAATAAATTAATACATTTTGACAAGGTCCTCTTCAAGTTTTGTAGAAACAAAAATTGATGAATTTTAATAACAACCCAACCCCTAGATCAGTGGTCTCCAACCCACGAGTGGGGATCTGCAGCTGAGTTGTGGAGCCACATGTTGTGGGTCATGAGCCAATACAGTTGCCATTTCTCCCCTTAGTGAAGCCAAGTTCTCTCACCACTTGATTTGCCAATTCTTCATCTAGTGTTAAGGGTAAAGGTAAAGGTTCCCTTGCTCGAAAGCCAGTCGAATCCGACTCTAGGGTTGCGGTGCTCATCTCCGTTTCAAAGCCGAAGAGCCAGCGCTGTCCGAAGACGTTTCCGTGGTCATGTGGCCGGCATGACTAGACACCAAGGTGCACGGAACGCTGTTACCTTCCCACCAAAGTGGTACCTTTTTATCTACTTGCAATTTCTTGCTTTTAGACTGCTAGGTTGGCAGGAGCTGGAACCAGAGATGGGAGCTCACTCCGTCAGGCGGCAACCCTGGTCTCGAACTGCTGAACTACTGACCTTCCACAGCCTGCAGTTCAGCGTCTTAACCACTTGAGCCACCGCAGCACCTTTCATCTAGTGTTGCCAACCTCCAATTGGAGCCTAAAATCCCCCAGAATCATAATTGATTGCCAAACTAGAGAGATCAGTGCCCCTGAAGAAAATGGCTTCTTTTGGAAGGTGGACTCCTTGGCGTTGCATACCTGCTGAGGTCTACCCCCAAATCTCCAGGAAATCCCTAACCCATAGTTGGCAACCCAGCTTCACACACACACTTGCAGCGCAGAACTCTCTTTCCCACCAGTGAAGGCAGGCAAGTAGATAGAGAAATGGCACATCAGGACAGGAACATGTAGATACTGTAGTGGGCCTGGAGGATATTCAGAGGGGTGGCTGAATAAAGCCTGCCCCCGCCTCCCACCCCTGGTATTCCAAGGAGGTCTCCCATCCAAGTACTTGCCAGAGTCGACCTTGCTTAGCTTCTGAGATCGGGCTTGCCTGGGCTGTCCAGGTTAGGGCAACTTCTCTACAGTTTTAATGTATTTATATTTCTGTGCCAATATGCATGAAAAGTGTCGCTGCTATTGCTTTGAACCGTTTTGAAATAATTATGAAAGAATATTAGGTAAAATTTTAAAAGAGGAGGACATACACACAGCTTGTAGCTGACCAAAATGTATACAATGATCATTTATTTTCTCATAGTGATACTGCCCTTAAACAACATCCTGATCCAACCAGGCCTCTGAAATATCCTCAGTGCCCTTAGCCGCATGAAACTTTAATGCGTTTACTTTGTTGCATCTTAGAATGCTGTAATGGGTGATGCAATCATGCTTGGACACCCCGAAACCACTTCAGATTTCTCAATAGTTTAGCTTCCTTTAGCTTGATGGAGTCAATATCTAACCATTGTAAACTTTAGGCTGCCTTTTTGTGTGTGTGGGTGGGGGGCAGCTATTATGATGATGCTCTGGTTTGTTTATTTGTATTTTGTCGTATCTACCCATCTTGGTTAAATCTGTATTGCAAATTTGTTACTATATTTTATTGTAATTTATTGTTTTTAAATTATGTGTTTATTGTTGTAACCTTGGCACATGGTGCCGTCAGCCGCCCTGAGCCTTCGGGGTAGGGCGGGATATAAATCCAAATATAAATAAATAAATAAATAAATCTTTATCATTTCCTTCTTTATGGTCTGGCTCCATAATAGACACTCAAGAAACTAGGCTTCGTTAGGCAAATAGCACTTTCTATCATAGATGGCCCGTGAATCAAGGCATTAGAACTAGCCAAGCATTTTTTGGCTGCAAGGTTGAGAACGCTTTCCTAGGATTAAGCCCCATTGCATGAAATGGCCCTTACTTCCAAGTCAATCTTTTTAGGATTCCTCCTTTAGGATTAATCTGCCTGGCTTTTCTCCTTACTAGAATGCAAGCTCATTCTGCATTTGTGTTTCTCCCCCCCCCCCTTTTTACCCAAGCAAGCTAATGGGCTGGATCCAAACTAAAATTTCCAGTAACAAAAGGTACTTCCATTAGCAGTAGCAGATCAGAACTCTCCTGCTGCAGCCCATTGATCCCCACCCCCCCTGCCAAAATGCTGCTCCTGGGGGACATGGATCTTCAGAAATGGCCTCAGGGCAAATTGGGGGTCTGCTGGAGGAAGGGGGAATTGGCAGAAAATACACCTCCCATTAGAGGAAAATTTAGTCTGGCTCCAACTCTAGGGTTGTAGGGGTTTTTTTCATCTCATTCCGTTATTGCCTTATATGAAAAGAAGCAGAGTGCTCACTTTCTGGTGTGAGCCTTAAAGATTTTGCATGCTTGTTGAGATATTTATATGACACTTCTCCCCAGTGGGGATACAAAGTGGTTTACAACATTATTCTCTCCTCCCAGATTTTACCCTCATAACAGCAATCCTGCAGGATAGGTTCTCTCTAGGTTCAAGTCCACTGTGCTGCTCTGACATCCTTCTAGGAAGGGTCCTCCTAAAGTCATTATTGGCCACTTCCTCTATAATAACACTAATCATTCTGAGTAAACAGTGATTGCAAAGCTTCATGGAATTGCCTGTGGTTCTTGTTTACATACAGTACCTGCCGCAGTATGTGCGGCTTTGGGAGACGATTTTTGTCTGAAAACCAGAATGGCATTAATAAATATTTTTATTTTCTTTGGCCACCGTTTTATGTGCTGAAACATATTCCCCTCTCCCCCTTTCTCTTTCAGGAAGAGATGGGCATTGCTTGCGAGTTGCTGGAACCAGAATCGGACTTCCTCAAGTGCAGCGTGGGGTTTCCTTTCATGAGATCAAAGTCCAAGGTAATGAGTTAAGTCCTCCCGATAGTCGAGGGAGTTTGTGGGGTGCAGACTGCTCTGCAAATAGTGTGGCTTTGCATCTTGGCCGCAAAGATGCTGTGGTCAGCTTTCCAGACTGTGACAACTGCTCTTGGTCTTGGAGCCCAAATGAGATTTTATTTAGCTGCCAGAAAATGTCTGTGTGTAGCTCTCTGTGCAGACGGTTGGAAGAGGGCTCTCTCCGTTTCAGTCTTGAGCTGCCCTGCTGTGTTTTGCAGGTGTTTTGCATCTTGCCCTGCCATGAAAAGTACGTAAAGTGCAGCAAGTTCCAGCATAATGCTAGTCCAAATAAATGCAATTTTTTCCTCTCTCCAACTTGCACTTATCATATTTGTTTAAATTATTAGTGAGGTTATGTCCTTTGATTCTGACAGTGCTGCTGCTGAACATTTTTAATATGAATCCTGTTTGCAGCCAGAAACTCGGCGGGGAAATCTTTCTTGACCACTCTAAAGATCTCAGTTCATTCTCATTCTTGTCCCAGTCCCTTTCTTGGCCCTTTCAGCTCTCACAAAATGGGTATTGTAAAAGCTGTCATTTCCCCTTATTGCCCATCAGTTGATCATTGGGCATGCCTGGAAGCCTCCTTTCATAGACTTATGACTCCTGGCTGGATAAAAGAGGTTGTGTAAGAATATAAAAGAATTATATTGTCTTGGACGCTGCCGAAATTCTGTGCCACCACTGCTCCTCCTGAAGCAGTGCCAAATGCCCTCTGAAATGCTGCTCCTTAGGTGTTGGGGGACACCCAGGAATAGGGTTGCCAGCTCCAGGTTGGGGAATACCTGGAAATTTGGGGGGTAGAGCCTGAGGAGGAGGGGCTTTGAGGAGGGGCAGGACTTCAGCAGGGTGTGATAGGGTTGCCAAATCTTTTAAACTTACCGGCGGGGGAGGCTCCGTCCCGTCCGGGAGCAGGCTGGTTGTGCGCGCGCGTCGCCGCGACGTCACCAGAAGCGACGTCAGACGTTGCTGACGTTGGGGATGTGGCCGAGCGCATCAGGGGGAAACATATGGCCCCCCCCCGACGAGCTCAGCCACGCCCCAACGTCAGCAACGAGGTGACGCAGCTTCGGGGGCGGGGTCCCCCCGGGCCCCGATTCCGCCAGGGCGGAAATCGGGGCTCCGAAGCGGGAGATTCCCTGCCCCCCGGGTGTGATGCCATAAAGTCCACCTTCTATAGTGATCTCTGTCACCTAGATATCTCCACCTGAAGGTTGGCAACCCAGGAGCAACATGGGGGTGGGGGGAGAAGCTGAAGGGCTGCTGCCTCCTCTTGCGTGTGTGGCTATTGTTGTTAGGATCCAATCCATTGTTCACATCTTACACATTTTGAGTCTGGAGTAGGACCGAATAATGCTGTACATGTATGTTTTAGAGCCATGCAGCCACACAATGAAATTGAAAGTCTATATTTCAAATAAAGCTTATTTTTTCATTGCTGATTCTGACTTTTTTTTGTCCCCATAGTATGAGTTCAGTGTTATTTTTGACACCAGTCACTTGTCTGGAGAAGAAGAGGTGCTTTCATTCCTTGTCACTGCTCAGAGGTAAGATGGAGTTCTTTTTCAACTTGCAGACTTTTTTGGCCATGTATCTTAGCAGACGTTGCTCGCACAGACACTAAAATGGCACCAGTCTCCCTTGCAAGTCTTTCTTTCATCTTTATTTGTCTCTCCTCTATATCGAGATTTCAGGTAAGAAGGTCAGGTAGGGCCTCTGGCATCCTTAGCCAACTGAAGAGAAGCTGTACTTGGAGTTACCATACCCATTTAACTTCATTTTGTATAGTAAGTGTCAGTCGGTGAGATTTAATATCTGTTGGCAACAGGACGTTCTTCAAATCTGAAAGATGGAGGATCCAGAATGAACCCACTTAGCCCCAAATTAAAGAAGGGACTAAACTCCTTCCCTTCCGAGGTGACATGCAAAGATTTAATTCTATTGAACTTGAGTGGAAGGCTGTTAAGAAATATTTACAAGGAATGATGCAAATTGTGCACTGAATACTCTTGCTGATCAGGACCTTGGTGCTGTTTTGTTCAAGTCTGTTGGACCCAGGGCCGGCTCCAGGCGTGTTTGTGCCCAAGGTGGGGCTACCTTTTGGTGCCCCCCCGCATGTGCGTCCACCAATTACGGGGGTTGCCAACCTCCAGGTGGGGCTTGGAGAGAAGGATCCCGATGGGTCCCCGCCCCCCCTCTACCGCCACATATTTTGTGAGTCCTGAAGGTGGTCCTGGACCCCCCTTTGCTCTTTCCTGCTGCTCCAGACAGACGGACAGGGCGACCCATCTGTGGGGGGAGGTTTAAAATGGGGACTGGCCGACAGGGCTTTTACAAAGCGCCGCTGCACTGCTTCCCCCCACAGCATCGCGAACTCGGGAGGTGGGATGTAGGTGGGGGGACAGGCAGCAGCAGCAGCACCTCCACCGCCACAACGAGAGATGGGAGGGACCCCCGCCGATGAAGGGTTCCCTTCACGTGGCGGCTGCAGTTCCTGTCTGGTGGGCGGGAGGGGTCAAGGGCTTGCCAGTCCTGCCCCTCCTTCCCTCCTTCCCTCCCGTCCCGCTTACCTTGGCCCTCCCTGAGGTGCCCCACCCTGTCTGAGAAGCGGCAGTACAGCAGGCAGGAGGCACCCGGAAAGGTAGGCTCGAGGGAGCCCCTGAAGCGGGCAGGTGAGGGGCGGGTAGGCGAGTGAGCGCACAGCCGGGGCTGGCAGGTGGCAGCTGCAGCAGCAGTCTCTGCGCCTGCGTGGACTGGCTGCCGGCCGGGGGACAGGGAGCGGGCATGTCGGGCCGGGCCGAACCCCCATTGGAAAACAGGCCGCCTGAGCCCACCCCAGCCCCGGTGAGTGGCCGCCGCCGGTCAAAGGGGAGCCCACCACTGGACGGATGCATGGGGTGCCTCGGGCGGTGCTTTTGGACCAAAAGCCTTGCATCTCCGTGACCACCACCGCCTCTTTCTCCCTGAGTCCGGCAAGTTCAGCGCTTTCCGGACTCAGGGAAAAAGAGGTGGCGGCGGCCAGGGAGATGCAGGGCTTTTGGCGGGGGGCTGCGTCCAGTTTGGCGCCCCAAGGGCCTGCTCGCGCTCTAGGCGAATGCCTAGTTCGTCTAGCCTGTGAGCCAGCCCTGGTTGGACCTTGGCAAGTGCCTTATTAATCTGATGTCTGCACAAGGAGTAAAGTATATAGACAAGTTTGCAGGTCCACAAAGGCATCATGGGGGAAATAAATCATGGAGACTAGTCTCTCGGACCCAAACACACCACTTAATTATGTTACTTTCCACATCCCACCTATTTCCCCCCCCCCAACAATCAACTGCCCTGAGCAATCTGTGTTAACACATACTCAGTCCTCATCCGGCCATTCTGAGAGATATTTTCTTTTTTAAAAAACAAATAATTACAAAGCAGTCTTTTCTGTGTGTCTGAGGTTTACTCCGACAATGCTGACACCCAAACTTTGTATCCAGTTACCCCCTTTTGTTGTCCTGCTGTTAGGCCTTCATCAAGTTGGTTGATGCTATTAGAAGTCAGAAGATGGGTTTCTCTCTCTCTCCCCCCTCCCCCTCTCCCTCTCTGTGTCACATACACTTTCATCTGTAGTTTTATAATACTTATAACACTATTCAGCACAGCACTTAAAAAGCAGCCCTGGAGGGATTAAAACCAATGCATTACGAGAAAGAACGTAAATGATTGGTTGTATACTACAACTCGACATGTTAGCTAATTGACTCAGTTTGTCTGGAAATAGCTAATTCTTTGAAATATAGCTGTGAGCTCATTGGAAGACATGTCATTTATGTTGTCTACGTTATGGTTGGATGGTCCTCCTCGTGTAGATCCATATTTAGTCCAGAAATAATCTATGCACTATCCCAACTACTACATCAAGTAGCGTTGGTTTGTGTCATGTCTAGAACTTAAGCACTTGGCACAAATAATTTCCTAACTAGGGGAAAAGAAGAAAGATTTTGAGAAGAGAAAACAAATCAATCATTCCCTTCCTCCAGAAAGCATCCAGTTCAACTTTCTGCTCAGACCAGTGAGGAAAAACACGGAGCATGATATCTTAGGTGATTTATTGTACTCTAGACAGCCTTTGTATGCTGGAGAATTGTGATAATAATAGCCTGTAGAAATGACATGGTGTGTGGGTTTAATCTTTCCCAATTCTGTAATGGCTTAGGATGCAAAGCATAAAGACACTGTTCCATTACAAAGCAGCTCTCCAAATGGTCCAAAAGTGTGCTTCTCAGTCTCTCGAAGTATGGGAAATAGTTCACATACGCTGTGCATGATACATAACCAAGGATCCCAGTTGGCAAGGGACTACTTTCAGATGGTGGGACTAATTTGTCTTGTACTATTTTTTGTGCCAGGATTCAGTAAATCTCAAAACTAGGATAGATTTACTCATTCCATCTTTGCTTGCACTACATTTAACTTGGACATATTTTATTGCCAAGACCACAGAATCATTATTTACTGGTCCATCAACTTAATAATCTATAGGGATCAAGCCAGAAAGTCGATGACTTTTATTTGATGGTAGATGGTTAATGCCCTGGCATTTTACAGTGTTATACATGGGGTTTTGGAGACTGTCTTGTGTTGATTTCAGGGGCCTCATGAAGCAGCTGAACTGAATGTTGTTTCTCTGCCTCTGAGGATATCCTGACACTTGCTTGGAGAGATGGCCAACTCTCTATTTGACTATACATCCCGCCTAATGAGTGCATAGGGATTTGATAAAGACAGTGATGAAAACTATAATGTGCAGAGCACGCTTTGCATGATTATATGCCATAACAAAGCAAACCCCATCTGTGATTTGCCACAGGAAATAGCTAGACTCACATAGGAATGGGAATCACACAGCTTCCTAAAGTTTTGCTCTTAGTCCCACCACTTCTAAAGCACAGGATCGTATTTTGGCTTTTTGATGCTCTTGGATGTGATGGTGCATAATGAAAGGCTGTAATTAGGCATCTTCCAGCGTCACTCACATCAAATATAATGATCCTTAACAGCTGGAGATGAGAGAGATTCTTAACAGCTGGAGATGAGAGAAGACCACTAGCAGTTGTTCTGTGAATTTCTGGGTGGAGGAATAGTAACCCTTCAGCAACAACAGGTGTATGGAACAAGATCTTGCTGCTTTCATTACTGCCAATAAATATCATAAACCAGCTTTCAACACCAGAGAGTCCTTGTTCTAGGTCATTTTTATTATCTGCTTGAAGGGGTGATCCTTACCATGCTCTCAAAGGCAGAGAATGGCTCATTTCCAAGTTTATTTGTGTAGGTATCTATACCCTACTTTTCTTCCCCAATGGGTACCCAAAGCAGGTTACAGAAACTTTCTCCCCTCCTCCATTTTATTGTCACAGCAACAAACATGTTAGGTACGTTAGGCTACGAGCGTGTGATTGGCCCAAGGTCTCCCAGCAAGCTTCCACGGCAGAGTGGGGAACTGAATCTGGGTCTCCTGGATCGTATTCCAGCACTCTTAACCGCTGTACCACCACTCATCTTATTAGATACTTGGGGTCTCCCTAGTATTGTTTCCAAATATGTCTCTTCAGCTGTTTACCACAGTCTTCACTTCCTTGCAGAATACCGATGAAGTCCTCTCATGATATTGCAGCTGCACTGCCTGTTTACTTGTAACTCAGAATGGAAGGGCCGCTCCCATTCTGGTGCTGTTTGGTGCTGTGCTTTTGCAGCTTCTGTATAAAAACAGGGGCAAAGGAAGAACGGCTGCCATCTGCCGCAGGGAAGTGAGGGAGTGTCAGGAAACGGGGATGAAATCCCCCTCAAATCCCCAGCACAGCGGGAGGGGATGGTTTACGATTGGATTTCAGCATATGACTAGCATCTATCGGTTCCAGAGTTCATAGAGGTGTCAAATCCTTCATCAGTAGAGATGCAGAATTAACAATGTTTAAGAAATAATATGTAGAAATTCAGAGACCTTTGAATCCTAAAGTAACGTGACCCCATGACTAGAGAACTGGCATTTCCTACAGTAGTTCCAATGTAATTGGCAATGGACATTAAATGTGCTGATAGATTGTTCTTTAGTAACATGACTTTGCGGCCCTTTGGAGAACAGCGATGTATCTGAACTGGGAAGCAAGGAAAGCGCCATGGCCCTGATGATGCAACAGCTGAGGCAGTGCCAGACACAGGGCAGGGAGGCTGCCGCTTCATTCTAGTGTGATCCAGTGAATGCTGCCAGATGGGGGACCACACTGGAACATATGCAGTTTCACTGAGTGGTTCAGAAGCCAGTAAAGTACAGCCAGGGAGGGTTATCTGCGGGCTCCGAGCTGCAACCAATGGCAGATTTGCAAAGACTGAGAGAAGGATTCAGCTGCTCTGCTCACCCTCGTCCCCTGTGTTGTGTGGTGGAAATAAATGTTGAAGTTCACTCTGTATACTTTATGCTCTAAGTACCAAGAGGGAACCTCCAAGATCATTGCTGTCAAAAGAGGAACAGGTTCATGTGAGCCAGAAGGCAGGCAGAACACTGGACTCTAGACTGCAGTTGTGTGTGTACCATTTGAACTCAAAAGCTGCTGTCACAACAGAGGAAAGATGCTTTCTTTTTTAAAATTTTATTTATGTTTTATTGTTAAAATACAAACAGTATAGCATTGTGCAATGAAACAATGGGGGATAATAATCATCTGAAACACAGAACTGAAAATGTAACAGTTAATATTACAACCATTTTTCCAATGTGTAAAGGAACTTTGTCAAATGTGATATTTAGGAGTTGTCTGAGAGTACTCATGACTGGTAAGGACGGTTTATTTAATAAATTGAGAGAGTGTGTTATTTAAGTAACAGGGAGTTTACTGGTTTAAAAATGAAGCCAGGGCGCGTAGCTTGGGTTTTGTGGTAGAAGATCATTTTCCGCCATGTATTGCAGGTAGAAAGATGATTTCTGAAGGCACACGTGTGTATATGGATGGATTTTAATGAGAGAAATTATTGTCCATGGCAAAAATGTTGAAGCTAAATTCAAGAAATTTCTGAAACAGTTGTGTCAAAGGTAATTTATATCACAACCTTGATTCTCTTGTTTGACCCAGTGGGAACTTAGAGCACTCCCTCCACGACAACACTCTCATTCTGTCTGTTCCCTTGAAGCATGAAGTAGACTCGTCCATCACTGGGTAAGCAGCAGTTCATCAAATGAGGAAGTACATGCGTGCAACGTTTTAAAGTTTATTTTAAGAATCTCGTCTAGTAGAAAAATACATTCTTGGCTTATAAATAAAGTTCTGGCCTGAATTTTTTCCCCTCCCTACTCGACTAAGTATTCAGATTGTGAAAATAGGCTATCATGATAGGATAGTGTCTTTCCATCTTTCTTTATTTGCCTTCCCTGTACACAAACATTAGGTGTTAATTATAGCACTGTGATGTACCTTTTTTTTAAAGAAAGGACATTATTTATGAGGTCAAATGAAATGTTTTGATTTGGATCTTGCTGGGCCAAAGGTTAGGGTCAAATGTTCTGGGATAGTATGGGTCACGATGAGGTCTAGCGTTGTGCTTTTCTGTTTAATTTCACAGTTAGAATGCTGTTTATGTTTTCCTCCCTTTTGGAGGGCAAAATTGCTGGAAAAGAAATAGATAGGTTTAAATGACTGTCAGAAGGGCTGTTTCTGTAACATGGGAGCAAAGTGAAGGTCACTGTTGCTACCTTGTGTGTGATCTCCTCTCTCTCCTTTAGAGTGGTCTCTCCCAGTTCCTTTGTTTATGGGGAATCTGTGGAGGCATCTCAGTTTATTCAGCTGGAGGACTTTGAGTGTCACTTTCAACCCCTGAACGTCACTCTTCAGGTAAAAACATTCTGTACAACACTCTTATGTGGGATTTAGCTTTAAGGGTGTCTGGCTGAAGTACGTGTTCTAATCTGTTATTGTACAGAGTGTGATTTCTCCATCATTCTATACAGAACAGAGCAAAACCACTCTAGCCATGGGTTACAAGGGAGGAAGAAGGAACTGATCATGAGATCATCCCTTCTGGCTAACATATGGCCTATGGCATACTGTAGTGTGCTCTGGATTATTGACCTGTTCAGAAAGAATAGAGATTCTACATAGGGTTGGATCCTACTAACATTACTTCTAGTGCAAGAGGGAAGAGGGGCCATTTCTGAATCCCACAGAGGCTGTACAAAGGATTGTGGAACAAAAAGCCAGGTAATACAGGGGAAGCACTGAGAAAGGGAATTGGACTTAATCTTTCCTCCATTTTGTACCAATGGAAAAAATGTTAGGATCCAACCCATATCATGGCAGGATGACCCAAAGGTTCAAATATTGAGTAGCATCTAAAGAGATAATTTTGGTGCACTGAATGGGATTTTCACCTTTTTTCCTTTTCTGCTTCCATTATCCCATGCCACATTGGAATATCACTATTGAATCAAAAGCAATATGTTGTCAAAGGTTTTCATGGCCGGAGTTCATTAGTTGCTGTAGATTTTCTGGGTTGTGTGGCTGGAAATGCCAAGACCACGGCCACACAACCCGGAAAATCTACAGCAACTAAGGAATCAAAAGCAGTTTGCCAGTTTGAATGGAGGGAAGCTAGTGTTCAAGAAGCAGAAATGCAAGCCCTCTTGGGCATGTGGAACTAGCTGTATAATACCTTGGATCATGGCCATGCAGTGTACTGAAATGTTCTGGCCATCGCTGTTCCATAGCTGATGTTAATTTAATGAGTGCCTTTAAAAAATAAATAAATCACAAGCTGAATAGTGCTTCCATGACCCATATCCTAGGACGTAAGAAACCATGCAAACTAACAGGAGAAAGTTCACCAGCTCACACAACATGTCCCCACAAAATGTGCAATGCTTTGTGCAGCTGGGTAATTTCTGGTCTGTCCTGACAGATATTGAATGAACATCATCCCTCTGGGGACTGGGAATGTTGTGAATTTGTAAGATGCATGTAGGACAGGAAATGAGCAGTGTTTGGTCACTGAAATAAGCCTGCATTGCGGGGAGGGCGGGGTACAAATGTGATAAATAAATAAATAAAATAAGAACAGTGAAAAGTTACAAAATCTTCCTCAGTGTGGTGATACTCATGCCGGAGGGCAGCTATTTGTAAGAGACTGGGCACACCATTGTGTTCCATCGTACTGCTTGCTTGGCAGTGTTTTCAATTTTTTAAAAAATGTATATACTGAGGAAAAGTTGTACACATTTACTCAGCAGAAAAGGAAAGCGGGTCTATTCACTGCAAAATTCGAATGGATTCATTTTTAAAAAATTTGATATGTAAAAACTTGTAATGTGCCAAAATTTTAGATGTCTTTAATAATAAAAAAACCCCAACCTCATGTCTGCTTTGTTGTGGGTAATGTGATGTGTCATCCAACTATCCCTTCCTCATTAACTCTCATTCCTCAGCACAACAGAGTTACCAGTTCATTTGTTTTCTAATTTGTTACATTATTCCTGCGTTTCATGCTGCAGTGGCGGCTAATTGTAGCCGGATTCTTCTCCCCCCTCATGAGTGCCTCTGGGACTTTTGCAAGGCCTTGGCACGGCGGCGCACCACATCTCTTTATCATTCATACATTCCTCAAAACAAAAGCAGTGCTTACCTTAGAGAATGAAGCAGAGAGGTTTGGCTATTTAGAGTCGGCTGGATTCTGGGCAGCACCATGAATAGACCACCATGCTTTCAGAGACTGAATTCTAAGTGTAGATGGCAGTGTCTAATTCAACTTGATTATTTTTCAGTATGTAAATGTTTAGGCGTGTGTGTGTGTGAACAGATAAACAGGCCCAGATTAACCGTTCAAGAAAGTGGTTCTAACCAGAATAGTACCTGTAATCATTTCTGAAATAACAAATTTGAGTGGGCCAGCCTTCTTGTAAGTCTGCCCTTTAGTCTCAGATGTGTGAGGCCTAATTGAGCTCGCTCCGTGGTGAAGGAAAAGGCAACCTGCACAAGCTCAGTTATGCTTTCTTTTATTCTCATTCAACGCGTCCTAGGGTTGGATTATGGGATCTGTCAGTGGAATGGAAGACAGAGTCCTGACTAGCTATTATTCCATACGTGTTCCACTTCCCTGCAGCCAAAAATGGCTGCTGGTGGGAGAGGAATGCTGGGAAGATTGGGGATCTTTACACAGACCTCACAAGATCCTAGTGCTGGATCTAAACCATAGGGTATAGCCATGGGTTCTGTGATTGGATGATTCAATCGAATCCTTGCTCGAATTAAAACAGCTGATATAATGTAGATATACCATCACTACTGTTATGGCGAATGGACCTATTCCTACTCTCTCTGTGTTGTTTACACAAGTCTAGCCATGCAACCCCAAACATTAGACCAAAGTGTATAGACTCATGGATTTGTCTTGGTAAGCCCCTCTTTTTATCCTGATGGTGTGACATGTGCCCCTTTTCTCTCCCCATTCTCTTACCTTTAAGTATTACTGATTCTGGGAAAGTCTGTCGTGATTCTGGGTGCTTTCTGTGCTAAACAGCAGTCACCGAAGCTTGTGCCTGCTGACCTGTTTCTGCTTTTTTTGAAGGTCTATAATGCTGGCCCGAGCACTCTCCCCGGTTCCTTTGTCGACATTTCCTTTCCGAATCGTCTCTCTGCCACCGGAGCAGAAATGTTTCATATTCAACATATGATGGTAAGCTGTGCTGCAAATCTTTTTTCAGTATAGTGTGTGGCGGTTGGAAGATGGGCAGTAACAGGAGAGTTTGCTCCGCAGAGCTGTTGTTTCAAGGAGGAAATTTGTGACTTATTATTGTGATAGCAGCAGAATGTAGACCTTTGGCTTGAGCTTATTGCATAGCAGGGGAGCCTTGCGTAGATATTCCAAATAAAGCCAAGCACCTAGTCGGTGATGGATATAATACTGTCTTCATTTTCCTCCGTGGTGTTCCTTTGAGAGAACATTGGCCCCATTCCTCTCCCATGATCATTCAGCTATTCTTAATGCATTAACCGCAGCTGCTATTCATCAATTCTGTTCTTTGTAGATATCCTATAAGGCAATTTTCCCCCAAGAGAGGTGTTAAAAAAACATTTAGATAATCAGTGGCTGATAAATGGGAGAGCTGTTTGCCTAGGCTTATATTGGCCTAAGTAATATTCATAGTATACTCAAATAACAAAAAGCCCTTACACGTCATTTTACCACACAGTTTAGCACACTTCTGTGCATATGATTATATTAACATTTCCCTTATCACTTGCCAAGAAGGTATTCCTTTGGAGAAAGGTACTGTTGTGCCTGTGAACTCATAGAAGATTTGGGGTGGGGGGGAAACTAAGGCTGTGATCATACGCACAATTAGACCCGACATAGGTGTGAATGCCGAGCAGATTCAAAGGGCACGATCAGACAACAACATCTGGTAAGCACCCCACAGCCATTGGCAACCCGTTCTGCTCCGCTGCAGAAGCGGAGTTAAAAGACACCAGGGAGGCTTGGTGACTGCACTCTTATGGAAGCTTTGTGTATGTGAATTAGCTACGACAGTTATTATTTAGTCTTTTCTTGGCTTTTGCCAAAAGTTTTCTTTTTCCCTCCAGATTGTCTTTTGTTCCATGTCTTTTTAGTCTGCGATTGTGGGGGATCTGGTGTACCCAGGGCTCTTTTTGTAGAAAAAGCCCAGCAGGAACTCATTAGCATAACAGGCCACACCCAACAGCAAAACTCATTAGCATATTAGGCCACACCCTGACAGCACCACTCATCAGCACATTAGGCCACACCCCCATGTTACCAGAAGTGTGGTCATCCAGCCACACCCACCTTTCCCTTCTTATTCTGTTTACCTTGTTTGTTGTCAAAACCCAGGGCTCTTTTTGTAGCAGGAACTCCTTTGCATGTTAGGCCACACACCCCTAATGTAGCCAATTCTAATGAGTTTCTGCTGTTGGGTGTGACCTATTATGCTAATGAGTTCATGCTGGGCGTGGCCAACTCAGGAGCCAGACGGAACTCCGTACCTGTGCGTTCCTGCCCCAAAATAGCCCTGGGTGTACCTTTGTTTGCATATGGCCTCATAGTACAGCGTTAAATTCTTTTATAAGCCTAGTGACATTGCCTAGTGATTGTCAGTTTGATCACAGCTGTGCGTATCCAACCATCTGCAGACTTCACCGAGTGATAACATTCCTGTTTCCCACTCACACTGCAGCCCACTGAGCATCCTGAAATTTTGTTTACAGTGGGTCAGTGGACCCTCAAGAACAGCATGGGAGACATAGTGGGGGTTTGAAGTGGGAGGGCAGAACCAACCTATCTTCTGCAAATGCTGTTCCACTGAAAGAACCATGTGGTTGGATATAGTATTAGCTCAAACGCAAGATTAGGTTTTCTCACAGGTATGCCATCAAGAAAGAGGGGGCCATTTAACATTTGCACACAAGTTACGGTTATGTCCAATAATAATTTTGTGGGTCCGTATGGATAACATTGTCTTCCTTTTGAGCGAGTACAGTGTATGCTAGTGTTTTTCAACTGAGACAGTTCATGAAGTTGGCTGAAAGTCAAAAGAGTTAAATAGTGAAATGATGTACATACACATAGGAAGGAGCTCTTAGTTATTGCAATAAAAAAGAAAGAGGGGGAATTGTAACTGATCAAGCCATTGAATTTAGATGCTTCATATTCAAGCATCCAACAGCATATAATCTCCTGAATTTAATGCTGGTTCCTTAGGCCTGGCACCTGGGAACCATGGAAACTTCAGCCCCACTCCTTCCTTTGCCACTGGGGAAATGTGAGAAGCCCCTGTGCTGGGGCTCCTTCTTACATCAATGACCCCAGACTTCTCACCTCATCAGTGATGCAGGAATAAGTAGATACATATATACACCTCTCTCAACTTCACTGGTGACATAGTTAATGTTCGGGAATGTCATTTCCTCCTTTCATTCAAAGATGCACTTTCTGAAAACAAATAACAGGGTGATCTTGGGAAAAATGGGTCAAAAGTCACTGCGTGAAATGTTATTTTAAGGACTGTCTTCTAAAAATTCCCATGTTTTTAGAATGTACAAAGGAGGAGGTGGATTACGTCTGGGTCATAGGCTAGGAGACGAAATGAGTTCCCATCAACCGAGACTCAAAACCAAATGTACTTCTCTGAACTGGCTCAACCTTTTGCTACTCAGCAGCTGGGAATCTTCTTTATTCCTTGGCAAGTGCTCATTAGCAGCTCTGAAAGATTCATGTAAACAATCTAATCTTTAATTGGAACTTGGTGATGTAGCACATGGTTCTAGGATGGCCGTCATGCCATAGTCAGTCCTTTCTGGATGACGGTGATTATCACACAGCAATTTGTGCAGCTGAAGTTCTGTTGTTACAATGGAGTTCAGATGTCTTTCTTCAAAGAAGGGCTTCAGTTGTGGAGGAAATACATTTTTACAGCATTCAAACTCAAGTATTGTGCTGTTAGGAAAATGTGATTCTCCTCTACTTCAGCCTCCCAATAGGCAGCATGCAGTTAAATGAGCTTTATTGAATGTCATGGTCCTTCCCATTTGATCTCCATGGGGAGCTGCCCCCCCCCCCCGCACTGTCCCACAGAGTTGCCGTGTGCATGTGCCCAAATATTACAAGCACATAGATTGCACCCGGCCCCGTACTCTGGGAGTTTCTTGATTATTTGTGTTTTTCATTCTTCCTAAAATGCATTTATTTTTTAAAATTGGTGGGCACGCCAGTGGGGGGGGCGCGCCAGAAGGGATCCCCGCCTAGGGTGCAAAATAAGCTGGGGCTGGCCCTGATGGAGATGATCAAATGAGTCATCCCTGCCTTTTCAGGAAGTCAACATTCATGTGAATGTGATATTCAGAATCCAAGCAGGGGTATACTTTATCAGGGCTTCAGAGCTGGAGTGGGCCCAACTCGGGCTGCATTACCATAATACAGCGTATTTATATAACTTTCGAAATAAAATAGATTTGTTTTCCATTCACGACTCAGGAGATTGTGTATATGGGATATGTTGCAAGTCAGTACTCAGTTCAGAAGAATTATGCTTGTGTCCTGGCAGTATTCACATGGACTGTGCAGTGGACTGGGATAGCATCACAGAGGTCATGTGCATCATGGTATGTGAAGTCACTAGCACTAGTGAATACCATTTTTGACTCTTTCATCGCAAACCCATCTGGATATTTGTGTATGAGATTTCTGCGGGCACCTCACTCACCAACGAACAACTGCTATGAAGACCCTTTCCCAAATTCATTCAATTACCTATTATTTATATCATGATCAGCTATTTAAACTGGAATGCCTGTGTTGGATCTGACTAAACCTAACTTGGCTGGCAGCCAAAACAGCAGGGTCAGGGGCAAGCAGAGTCAGTGGTCATAGTCAGGACCAATGCTCCCTCTAAGCTGTGGAGTCTTGTGAGCAAAAATTCTACTTTGTGAGCTACTGTCATTAAAGTTGTGAGCGAGCGATTTGGCTGCTGCATAAATTAGTTTGCTCTGGAGCCATCCTTCCTGAGCTAAGACAAAAATCTGTGAGCTGAAGGCAAAAAAACTGAGATAGCTCAAACTAACTCAGAGGGAACACTGGTCAGGACTAAGGTCAAATCCTGCACACCAAAAATAGTTCCTGAGGACCATAAACAGCAGCATAGCTTCCAGTAGGCCAAAGTCAAATTCGGTATAGTGGGCCCGATGTTAGTGACAGGCAGGCAGGTAGTCAAGTCCACAGCAGCAGCAGATCCCCCAAACAGACAAAACATAACTCTATCCTTCCATGATGAACAGGCCAATGAGACTGAAGAGTCAATTCCAAGTTTATGTAGTCACAGCCTTGCTCATAACTGGCTCTCTGAGTCACATGCTTATGCTGGGTTGGCCCAGGCTGCATATCCCATAGTGGCCACTTGTATGTGCTGTGGCACTCTTTCGGCTCAGATGGAATTGACTTGCTTCTCCTTGCAGTAGCACAAGGAATAAAGTATTGGCCCCTGACTCCCAGGATCTTGGGTTTGAGTCTCCTGGAACCTTACAAATTGGAGCGCTGATTATCATATCTGGTGGGTTCATGGCAGCAGCTATCCATTGTTGTGTTTTCTGCTGGAAGATATGGCAGGCAGCTGGGGAGACTGAGATGGCACAGGCACTGGAAGAAGAAGACCCAACATAGCACATCCACAGCTACTCTCATCCATGTCACAACCACATGCATAATTCCATAATGCAAAGATAAAACTTGTGTGCAAAGTGAGCAGAATCAGGACTACAGTTCACAAGATACTGCATGAAAGAGAATATATTGTGTTACAGAGGATTATGGGGATTTTGGAATGGGACACAGCAGAATAGGAATAAAGCTGAAAAACAAAAGTTAAAAAAACACCATTGGTGGAAGCTCTGACATCCCTATGACCTCCCCTCTCTTTTGAAATTGTTGATATATTTATGGTGTAGCCTGTGTGTGAGAGGTATGGCTTGCCTTTGATGAGACAGGAGCAT